GCGGAACCTTGCATAATGAGTTGAACAATGCCCAAAATGTCAGTTTTGAACTTCAGCACGGGGCAACGCAGCAAGGAACTCTTGCTAAAAATGAGCTAAAGTGGACCCTGCAGCTGTTTACCGAAAAGGTTTACTGTCACACTCTGCAGCACAAGAAAGGAGCCGTTGCTATCGCCCTAAAATACACTGACATGTCAGGCGCTAGGTTTCCAAACAGGGTGTGCACTAGCATAGAGGTAGGTTTCAGAACTTTCCGCTTCGGTCATGGCGAAAATCAACAAATCAGGAATTCAAAACCTTATCTTCAGAAGGTGCAAATCTCGAAGAGAGCCGACGGTTCCGATAGCACCCACTCTAGTGGCTGTTGATAGCAAATCTCGAAGTGAGCCTGAGCGCATTTTCTTTATTCTACGCTCCGACCCATCTTTCAACCGACGTGCTAGTTAGTTAATCCATCCAGGCCAAGACGTCCCAGGAATCAACCGTAATGAGCATCTATCAACGTAACCAAAGCGGATGTGTTTTACAAGGGATTGACCCATAGTACGATAGTAAATCGTACTGGTAGTAAAACTGGTTTGTCCCATTACTTTTGTGTGTGACGAATTGGTGCGTGACACTTTTTGATGATAGCCAATAACAAGATTACTATACTCAATACACGTGTTACTATGAATTATTTTGTGTGTGTCAGCATGGTAACTGGATTACCATACCGATTCAATGCAGGACTAGTATGATACAAGGCAGTAACAAGATTACTATTTTCAACAGGCAACTTTACTAAACGATTAAGGGTTGGAGAAATGGTTCGTTGGAGTCCGTAATAGGATTACTACCAGTATTACTTATTTTACGATCACACATGGACAAGGCGGAGGAGTGGTTTGGCCCAACCAATAACCGTTTAATTTCCTTACTATGTCTGATAGGTTTTTTACTGAGATTAGTGGAGCGGCGCGCACGCAGCAGCCGGAGCGCAGGATTAGAGTATTTGCGCTCACGCTCACTTTAGCGCTACCGTATATATAT